CGCTAAAAGTGACAAAAATGTGGCCAAGTTTGCCTTACTCTTCAATCTCTTAGGAAAGTGCTGATAGGAAAGGGGGCTATGAAATACAAGAGCTTTGGTAGATGGTAAAAAGTCCTGTGCTTGAAAGCCTCTTTAGCAAGTGACACAACACACTAATGGGACAATCACAGCAACAGATCCAGTTGCTGTCCTCTGACAAGCAGCATCACCTCTTTCGTATCTATATTAAGCTGCAGCTAGCTCATCTTCCAGATCTCTCTTTATAAGACAGTGCGAAGGCAAGAAAACTGCACCTGCTATATGTGACAAAGAGACATAGGCTTGAGAATTATCAGTATGTTGATGGCACTGCAACCTAAAATGTATCACCCTAGACTGTAGTCTCTAAAAATCTATTCATTCAACTATATTTGAGATATATATTTCTTCTTCAATATATTTAGATGATCCACCATAATTATGTTCATGAAGTACATAGGATGACCAGATAGCAAGGGTGAAAAATTGGGACCAGGGAGAGGGGGATAATAGGGTCTGTCAAGGTTCCTCCCCCACTCTGAACTCTAGGGTACAGATGTGGGGGCCTGCATGAAAACCTCCTAAGCTTACTTTAACCAGCTTAGGTTAAAACTTCCCCAAGGTACAAATTAATTTTATCCTTTGTCCTTGGAATATCCACTGCCAGCACCAAACTCTAACTGGGTTTACTGGGAAATGTAGTTTGGACACGTCTTTTCCCCCAAAATCCTCCCAACCCTTGCACCCCACTTCCTGGGAAAGGTTTGGCAAAAATCCTCACCAATTTGCATAGGTGACCACAGACCCAAACCGTTGGATCTGAGAACAATGAAAAAGCATTCAGTTTCCTTACAAGAAGACTTTTAATAGAAATAGAAGTAAATAGAAGTAAAGGAATCACCCCTGTAAAATCAGGATGGTAGATACCTTACAGGGTATTTAGATTCAAAACATAGAGAATCCCTCCAGGCAAAACCTTAAGTTACAAAAAAGACACACAGACAGAAATAGTCATTCGATTCAGCACAATTCTTTTCTCAGCCATTTAAAGAAATCATAATCTAACACATACCTAGCTAGATTACTTACTAAAAGTTCTAAGACTCCATTCCTGGTCTATCCCCGGCAAAAGCAGCATATAGACAGACAGAGACCCTTTGTTTCTCTCCCTCCTCCCAGCTTTTGAAAGTATCTTGTTTCCTCATTGGTCATTTTGGTCAGGTGCCAGTGAGGTTACCTTTAGCTTCTTAACCCTTTACAGGTGCCAGGATTTTTCCTCTTGCCAGGAGGGATTTTAAAGGGGTTTAACCTTCCCTTTATATTTATGACAGGGTCCTATAGAATACAAAATCCCTAATATCAGGACAGTCCTGATACAATTGGGACATCTGGTCACCCTAGATGTACACAACTATAAAACATGTCAGCAAGCAAAAGACTAATACCAGAATCAGTAATGTTTCTAAGAAACTGAAGTTAGTGTGTGTCTCATGTTAGAGTTCAGTAAGAGGAAAGTAAACTAAAAAAATACTAGAACAAATATATGACAGGCTACAAATGTCTTTTGCTCTCTTGGGGAGTATGAAGTAAATAAATAGGAGGGGAAAAATGAGCTATAGTGTCTGACAGAACCATCTGGTACCTAAACAACACAACACTGGTGGTCAACCAAGTGCTGATTAACCATGATGTGAAACAATATTTCACAGCAGCCATCCACAGTGGGGGAATGAATCTTAGTGTTCAACAAAATTCTGATAGTGTTTGTCTGCCAGGGGCAATGAAATGAGACACATGGGGGTGGGGGTCAGGTGTCTTGTAGCAGGCAGGATATTCTTGCTCTTTTAGAAATTGCCAGTTGTGCTCACCAGTTTGACAATTTTGCAGTGTCAACAGATGTACTGTAGAAATAAAAATGAGGTACTTCGAAACTCATTTTTCATCATGATCCACAGATTTTGCTCCATATCTCTGCATATAATTAGAACATTCACAGGTATGTTAGATAAAATGAGGCAAACACATTTTTATAAAGAGATATAAGCCTTTATTCTTCAAGGCATAAACCCACTAGCTGATGGAAGTTAGGCACGACTTCCTCTAGGAGCAGTTCAGTCCATTATGGTGCACTACAGAGTTTCCTGCATCTTCCTCTGAAGCATCTGGTGCTCGTCTGTCAGAGACAGGACTCCTGACTAAATGTAACACCAGTATGGTTGGGCATGGCAATTTTGTGCTCCTAGACAATACTAACACATAGAAATGAAATTTGTCCCTACTTAGAGGGACTGTGCAAGGTTTTGGGGGCATCAGAGCTTCACTAAAGCCCTTATCTTGTGGGCTCTTTAAACATTGATGAATGAGCATTGATATTTAACTCCTCCCTTATCTTTATGTATGCGTGGTCTCTCCAGAGCAGGATAGAAACATGTTGGTCAAGCCTGTGTGAGATGAATGCCCTACCAATACCTGTTCTGTAGCTGAAAAGAAGACTTTTCGTCGGTGGATAATGTGTCACTTTTATCCAACAAAAATAATATAGAAATAAGACTTATGCACCAACTCCAAGCCACTGTACTACCTAGCTCCCAAACATAGTGCAGGATGCAATGAGCTTAAGAATGGGAAAATCTACTCTGAAATACGTAAAGCAGCTCAGACTGATTCTTAGGTCTATAACTTTAATCACTCCTTACTTTTGTAGGTCCTTATATGTGACCTCTTCCATTTTTCCTTACCTCCTGAAGAATATCCCATTTTCCCTGAAAATTCCTGTTCTTGTGTCATTAGCTATCACAAGCCTGCTCTCCCTCAGAATTTATCGTGAAGCCGTAGAGGATGCACATAGATACAGAAGCTGGGCAATGCCCAGAAAAGAGCACACCAGAATTCCTGTCCCAGTGAAGTATCACCAAAGGAGAGGGTTACATAGAACTCAATGTACTAATGGTGAGGAAAAAAGAAATTGATGGGTGAACAGAGTGAAAGGACAGAGGTTGAAGGGAGAGAGAATCTGCTTGATGTGGAAGGTAGAAAGAGGAAGGAGGGAAAAAGCAAAGGTTTGAATCTTTTCTGAAGCTTAGCCAAACCTTTCAGGGCTTTCCCCGGCCAGCCAAAACATCTGAAGCTTTGTCATTATATGTACTAATAACAGTACAGACTGCATAGCAGTGGTGTCCACAAATTCTCAAAAGTACCTCAGATATATTCAGAAACATATCACAAGACTCACATCTCCTTCTGACTGTATTTCTGTTTGTTTGTTTGTTTAGGCTGTTAAAATCGTAAGTGTAGGTACAAATTATTAGAACTGACTGGGAATTTTGTAATGAAACGTTTTTCACTGGAAAATACTGATTCTTTAAGAAGGTATCTCAGGTCCAACATGGAATTTCTGATCAAAAATGGAGAGAGAACCTGCAGAATAGCCAATGGCCCAATGGTTAGGATACTCATCCAGGATGTGGGAGGCTCAGATTACAGTCCCTCTTCTGCCTGACTTAGAGCAGGGACTGTAAACTGTGTCTCTCACATCCCAAGTGAGTGCCCTATCTACCAGGATATTTTGGGGTGTGTTGCTCTCTCTCACACTCAAGTTTTTTTCCCCCACAAAACATTTCAAAAGGTCTCATTTTCAGTCCAATGCAGAATGGAAACAGATTTCAAAATCTCAATGTTTGTTCTGAAATGGAATTCTTGTTTTCAGGCCAGTCTTACAAATGATCTCCAGTTGCAACTCCATTGAAGTCTGCTATTTTGGTCCATGAAGTTGTCTATTTATGGGCCAGGTCTAGTAACACAGATGTGAACTGGTAACACAGATGTGTCTACATTGGACTGCAGTATTTCACTTGTCTTTTTTAAAGTTTCTCATGTGTTTGAATGAGTAAAGTAAAAATAAATAAATAAATACTTTTAGAAGGGCTGCAGCAGTGTTAGGGTCTCTAACCCACAGTTTAAACAATACTTTTCTGTTGTCTCACAGAAAGGATCAGAGCAGAGAAGAGAAGAGACTATCCTTTCAAAGGAAACATAATAGGAAGTAGGAAATAAACATACCTCACAAAACCAAATGAAAATAAGGCATTTTATGACTTACAAACATTGGCCCCATTGAGAATACAAGAGGTTTTTTTTTAATCTATGCAGCTGAGTTCTGTAAAACTCCATCTCCAACATAATAAAAAGAAAAAGAAATTACTGGTATTTACATTTTTATGCACAGGGACTAGTGAAAGGAGCTCATGACAGAGAGAGAAGTAAATTTCCTTTTTGTCTTTTACAAGAATATTTACTATTCAGATATCAAAGAGAAGAATAAAACCTTGCCGTGTGTCTGTGTCACAATATGATCTATTTGAAATTCTTATGGGCTTATGCAGATATTCAAACACTGAAAAGCTCGGATACCCTATCCAGATCATACAATATGCTGAACTTGCACATCAGTAATTTTTATTAACACTTCAGTCTCTCTTGTGAAAACAAAGCAGATCAATCAGATGATGCATTCACAATTTTCCCCAAGGCAGAAAACAATCTTATTGCAAAATACAGCTGGCAAAATGCAGTATGCAATTTATTTATTTATTTGTTTGTTTTTTCAAGCTAGCAAAGTTTCACAGGAGACAAAACAAATTTATTTTTCAATATTTATATTAATTTTTAGTGCTTATCCTAACAGTGGCTTACCTTCTCCAGCAGTAGGTGCAGCTCCCCCTCTAGCTTTCCTTTTAATGTGCCTTCAGTAGCTATGTATTTCAGCCCCCTGGTCAAACCAACAAAAAATCCTCCATTGCCAGAGCAAACAAAAGTCGACAGAACAAGTCCTTCACCTTTGGGCACAGCCCTCTAACTAGGATCTGTGCTTCCTTCTTCTCTTAGCCCTGGTCTACACTGGGGGGTGGGGGGGTCGATCTACGTTACACAACTTCAGCTATGTGAACAACGTAGCTGAAGTCAACATACTTAGATTGACTTACCGTGGTGTCTCCACTGCGGTGAGTTGACTGCTACCGCTCCCACGTCAACTCTGCCTGCGCCTCTTATGGCACTGGAGTACAAGAGTCAATGGGAGAGCGCTCGGGGATTGATTTATCGCATCTAGACTAGACATGATAAATCGATCCCCTCTGGATCGATCACTGCCCGCCGATCCGGCTGGTAGTGAAGACATACCCTTAGTTGCACTGCTTGTAATACCCCTTCCCCTTGGTTGCAAAGTGTTGTATAACCACACTACTTCTTAGTGTTGCCTTGATTCCTCCTCTACCACAGGCTCCTGCTCTGGGAACCTAAATAGTGAAACTCCTGTCCATTCCGGCCTCAGTCATCCTTGCTTCACTCTCCCCTCCCCCAACCCTCATACCCACTTCCTACATTTTTACTTTCTTAGACCTTCTGCCTAACCCTTCCACAGATTACTCTAGCATGGCCCTTCCCACATTCTTTCTCTGGTTCCCCCTCCAGACCTGGCCCAGACCCCGTCAACAGAGAGTTTGAGTTGGCTGTTCCTGCTGCTCTCCCAGATCTCCACACTGATTGCAGGGAGCTGTTTTATATTCCTGACCCTGCATTGCTTCTGTCATACAATTCTTATCCTCCCTTTGGAAATAACAAGCCCCAGAATGCCTGTCTTTAAAAGGACCAAAACCCAACAATAGAAGTACAGAATGGGCCTTTTCATAAATGGCCAACACTCCCAGTAACACACAATTTTATGTCTCCTTATTTCAGTCTAGTTGCAAACTTGATTATTTCTGGGAGGTGACAACATTTCTAGCCATAACACTCATCTCATAAACAAGGTAGCACAGAGCAGAACAGAGCACCTTGTTGGCCATCTCCCCCTTAGCCTGTCCCCCTAATCCGTTTCCATAGTTACTTTTTACAAAGAGTTAAGTAAGTAAACAGTTATTTAATAGGGCTGTCAATTAATCACTGTTAACTCATGCAATTAACTCAAAAAAATTTAATCGTTTTTCAAAAAATATATCACTCACAATTTTAATTGTACTGTTAAACAATAGAATACCAACTGAAATTTATTAAATATTTTGGATGTCTTTCTACATTTTCAAATATATTTATTTAAATTACAACACAGAATAAAAAGTGTACAGTGCTCACTTTATATTATTATATTTATTACAAATATTTGCACCTTAAAAATGATAAAAGAAATAGTATATTGACCTCACACAAGTACTGTAATGCACTCTCTTTATCATGAAAGTGCAACTTACAAATGTAGACTTTTTTTTACATAACTGCACTCAAAAACAAAACAATGTAAAACTTCAGAGACTACAAGTCCACTCAGACCTATTTCTAATTCAGCCAATCACTAAGAGAAAGAAGTTTGTTTACATTTAGGGGAGATAATGCTGCCCGCTTCTTATTTACAATGTCACCTGAAAGTGAGAATAGCCGTTTGCATGGTACTTTTGTAGCCAGTATTGCAAGGTATTTATGTGCCAGATATGCTAAACATTCATATACCCCTTCATGTTTTGGCCACCATTACAGAGGACATGCTTCCATGCTGATGACTGCTTGTTAAAAAAAAATGTGTTAATTAAATTTTGATTGAACTCCTTGGGGAAGAATAGTATGTCTCCTGCTCTGTTTTACCCACATTCTGCTATGTATTTCATATTCTGGCAATCTCGGATGATGAACCAGCACATGTTCATTTTAAGAACATTTTCACGTAGATTTGACAAAATGCAAAGAAGGTACCAATGTAAGATTTCTAAAGATAGCTATATCACTCGACCCAAGGTTTAAGAATATAAAGTGCCTTCCAAAATCTGAGAGGGACAAGGTGTGGAGCATGCTTTCGGAAGTCTTAAAAGAGCAACATTTTGATGCAGAAACTACAGAACCAGAACCACCAAAAAAAGAAAATCAAACTTCGGCTGGTGGCATCTGACTCAGATGATGAAAGTAAACGTGTGTCGGTCTGCACTGCTTTGGATTGTTCTTGAGTAGAACCCATCATCAGCATGGACGCATGTCCTCTGGAATGGTGGTTGAAGATGAAGGACATATGAATCTTTATCACATCTGGCATGTAATTATCTTGCAATGCCGGATACAACAGTGCCATGCAAATCCCTGTTCTCACTATCAGGTGACATTGTAAACAAGAAGCGGGCAGCATTGTCTCCTGAAAATGTAAACCAACTCTTTGTATGGGTGACTGGCTGAACAAGAAGTAGGACTGAGTAGGCTCCAAAGTTTTACATTGTTTTATTTTTGAATGCAGTTATTTTTTGTATATAATTCTACATTTGTAAGTTCAACTTTCATGTTAAAGAGATTGCATTACAGTACTTGTATGAAGTGAATTGAAAAATACTATTTCTTTTGTTTTTTACAGCACAAATATTTGTAATAAAAAGAAATATAAAGTGAACACTACACTTCATATTCTGTGGTGTAATTGAAAGCAATATATTTGAAAATGTATAAAACATCCAAAAATATTTAAATAAATGGTATTCTATTATTCTATTTAGAAAAGCTGGACATGCACAAGTCCATGGGGCCGGACGCGTTGCATCCGAGAGTGCTAAAGGAATTAGCGGCTGTGATTGCAGAGCCATTGGCCATTATCTTTGAAAACTCGTGGTGAACGGGGGAAGTTCCAGATGACTGGAAAAAAGCTAATGTAGTGCCAATCTTTAAAAAAGGGAAGAAGGAGGATCCTGGGAACTACAGGCCAGTCAGCCTCACCTCAGTCCCCAGAAAAATCATGGAGCAGGTCCTCAAGGAATCAATCCTGAAGCACTTAGAGGAGAGGAAAGTGATCAGGAACAGTCAGCATGGATTCACCAAGGGAAGGTCATGCCTGACTAATCTAATCGCCTTCTATCATGAGATTACTGGTTCTGTGCATGAAGGGAAAGCAGTGGATGTGTTATTTCTTGACTTTAGCAAAGCTTTTGACACGGTCTCCCACAAGTATTCTTGTCAGCAAGTTAAAGAAGTATGGGCTGGATGAATGCACTATAAGGTGGGTAGAAAGTTGGCTAGATTGTCGGGCTGAACGGGTAGTGATCAATGGCTCCATGTCTCGTTGGCAGCCGGTGTCAAGTGGAGTGCCCCAGGGGTCGGTCCTGGGGCCGGTTTTGTTCAATATCTTCATAAATGATCTGGAGGATGGTGTGGATTGCACTCTCAGCAAATTTGCGGATGATACTAAACTAGGATGAGTGGTAGATACGCTGGAGGACAGGGATAGGATACAGAGGGACCTAGACAAATTGGAGGATTGGGCCAAAAGAAATCTGATGAGGTTCAATAAGGATAAGTGCAGGGTTCTGCACTTAGGATGGAAGAACCCAATGCACCGCTACAGACTAGGGACCGAATGGCTAGGCAGCAGTTCTGCAGAAAAGGACCTAGGGGTGACAGTGGACGAGAAGCTGGATATGAGTCAACAGTGTGCCCTTGTTGTCAAGAAGGCCAATGGCATTTTGGGATGTATAAGTAGGGGCATAGCGAGCAGATCGAGGGACGTGATCGTCCCCCTCTATTCGACATTGGTGAGGCCTCATCTGGAGTACTGTGTCCAGTTTGGGGCCCCACACTACAAGAAGGATGTGGATAAATTGGAGAGAGTCCAGCGAAGGGCAACAAAAATGATTAGGGGTCTGGAACACATGACTTATGAGGAGAGGCTGAGGGAACTGGGATTGTTTAGTCTGCAGAAGAGAAGAATGAGGGGGGATTTGATTGCTGCTTTCAACTACCTGAGAGGTGGTTCCAGAAAGGATGGTTCTAGACTATTCTCAGTGGTAGAAGAGGACAGGACAAGGAGTAATGGTCTCAAGTTGCAGTGGGGGAGGTTTAGGTTGGATATTAGGAAAAACCTTTTCACTAGGAGGGTGGTGAAACACTGGAATGCGTTACCTAGGGAGGTGGTAGAATCTCCTTCCTTAGAAGTTTTTCAGGTCAGGCTTGACAAAGCCCTGGCTGGGATGATTTAATTGGGGATTGGTCCTGCTTTGAGCAGGGGGTTGGCTAGATGACCTCCTGAGATCCCTTCCAACCCTGATATTCTATGATTCTATGATTCTGTTGTTTAACAATGCGATTAATTGTGCATTAATTTTTTAATCACTTGGAAGCCATATTATTTAGTCAATTTTTGAACATAGGGTCTGATTCATCATTGCCCTGAATCTTGTGTAATCATTTACACCACTGCAAAGTGAGTACAGAGTGGGTGGTGTATCAAATTAAAATGTAAGCATTCTATACAGTAATGTACAGGAAGAGGGTAGTATCCCTTTAAATAGTTTGTGAGCCCTCTATTGGCACTCACTGTGTTCTGTAAGTATATAAGAATGACCATATTGGGTCAGACCAAAGGTTTATCTATCCCATCTTCCAACAGTGGCCAATGCCAGGTGCCCCAGAGGGAATTAACAGAACAGGTAATAGTCAAGTGATCCACCCCCTGATGCCCATTCCGAGGTTCTGGCAAACGGAGGCTGGGGACACCATTCCTCCCCATCCTGGCTAATAGCCAGTAATGGACCCATCCTCCATGAACTTATCTAGTTCTTTCTGAACCCTGTTATAGTCTTGGCCTTCACAACATCCTCTGGGAAAGAGTTCCCAAGAGGGTGCGTTCATGAAAAAATACTTCCTTTTGCTTGTTTTAAACCTGCTGCCTTTCAATTTCATTTGGTGACCCCTAGTTCTTGTGTAATGAGAAGGAGTAAATAACACTTCCTTATTTACTTTCCACGCACAAGTCATGATTTTATAGACCTCTGTCATATCCCCCCAGTCATCTCTCTTCCAAGCTGAGAAGTCCTAGTCTTATTATTCGTTCTTCATATGGAAGCCGTTCCATACCCCTAATAATTTTTGTTACCCTTTTCTGAACCTTTTCCAATTCCAATATATCTTTTTTGAGATGGGGTGACCACATCTGTATGCAGTATTCTAAATGCAGGTATACCATGGATTTATATAGAGGCAATATGATATTTTCTGTTTTATTATCTATCCCTTTCTTAATGATTCCCA